AACCTCAGTGTTTCGAAGAAAGCTCTGTGTATATAATATATACCTATCGAACATGTTAACTAACACAAGAATAAATAAGGTTAGAATAAATAAAAGATGTATAAGTAACGAACTCACCCTCAGCGTTTCGAAGAAAGCTGAGGGCGGGGAAGTTTCGTATTTCCTGAATATAAGTAATATGGACCGTCGGTGGAACAGATACGAAACATAAGATAAGAAAATCTAAATGAAATATATATCGTCGAAGTGTACCTGGCCGGACTCGTATAGCCTGCTTTGGCCTAATGTCCGTATTCGTCTAACAATTGTGACACACCACCAGCTGGTGCATTTTGTGTAGTGACAGTGAGTGGGTACTGCACAACTTCACCACATTCTGCGTCCGTCGGGGCGTTGGCAAGGGTCCCACCTGATCAGTGATATAAAAAACATCGAAATAGCAGTAAAAATAAGACTATACATTGCAAGTCCATATTAGTCTTATACGCGCGTGCTCTGTCAATGTCCTCGAAGGTAGGTGGGTTTTGAGGAGGAGGAGGAACGGTATTGGATGCCATATTTACTGGTGAAAGTTAGAATTGACTCAGAACGTGAGTAACTCATAGAGAACTAACACGACCAAACAACCAAAGGCTCAGCGCTCAGTACTTAGTACTATGTACTCATTGTGACTCTGAGCGAAGCAAAGCAATTCCGAAGAGGTGTGTGCGGGACACAACATGAGCGTTAATTCTATGATCCCACAAGGTCACAGCCCACATCCTGATTAGGTGTCCCCACGGGCATTCCATGATGGCTAGCTAAAGTATATGCAAAAGTACTCCCTGTTGTTGAATTACACGTTTTTCGGAGGTGCGACAGCACCGTACCGACAAGGATTAGCTACTCAGCTACAGCCCCCGCTACCACTGGGTTCGTGAACGTAAAAGATAGCAAACGCAGTTTGCGTCCTTTCTTTTTCTATGTATGGTTTGAACTTTGTACAGGTCACCGACATACTTACAGGTTGATACAACCGTGCTCTGGGCAATCAAAACAGAGGAATTCCCAGCTGATGTATCTCCTCAGGTGGATATGACTCGGCGTTACGGTTGACGATATCTCGCCAGCCTCCATGTTTGCTGCCTCTTCCCCTTCCCCGTCCAGCAAGAGCCTTGCCTCTTCTATCCCTCTTCAAGCTATACCAGTCGTCAGTCTGGCATGACTGTCGCTTAAGACATGTGATCACTATATCGCCCACTCTTGCGCCCACCCATGTACCCTCGCTCTTTACACTGATATCATGTCTTCATCGACTCACCAATTTACTCGCTTCTCGAGTGACACTATAGAAGGAATGTTCGATGAAGATCCGGACTCTGAATGGTCACTTAGGATATACAAAGAACTTTTCAAAAAAGAAGAAGCCTCTCAAGACTCGGAGTTTAACAAACATACACGTCGCATATTCAAGGTTTGGCCCCGAGATCCCAAAGGAGGAGGAAAACCGTGCATAATGTCCGACTTGCGCGAGCTTTCTGCCGGGTATAGAACGAATAACAGTTACCACCTCTGGGGTGCGACAATGCTCGACTTTTACATGTTCCGAAGCTTCAACGACGAATGTGCTGATGCGATGCTAGGATTCTCAAGTGGAAGTAAGCTATATGCGTGGATGAAGGCTCATGGAGAGCTTTATGCTAAAGATGAATTGGAGTGGGCCGAGATGGAGCAGAAACCGAGGTTAAGACCTGCGGCTGATATTCTAGAGATCATTGGGGTAAAGAATTTGGCGATTTTGATGGGCTCATGCGGAATTTCGATGCGCGATGATGATGATGATGGCGAAGCTACATCTACAGAAGAAGAGAGCGTCGAAAACGAGACCATCGTATGTACACAGAGCTGTCACCATTTGTTCTTCTCATTACTTACATTCAAGTTCAGAGCGCAATACCACGTCCATTTGACTACGAAAACTATCCTGATCCATGGCCTCTCGTTCCATTCTCATCCGACGCGCCCACCCTCCAATCGCCGATTCCTTTCCATCTACTTCCAGAAACATTAATCGTACATGATCCGTTTCGTCTTCTCAACGGCGATGACCCCCCTGACGAGTCAGACGTTGACTGGACTTCTGTCGACGATATCACTCATAGATATAGTCTCAATTTGACTGTTCCCTCTATCAAGGATTCCATCGCCGCAGAACGAGCCAAAATAACTGAGGCAGCCAGTAAAGACGGTCCAGTGTTCATTGGCATTGTACTTGATTGCCCGAACAGCACTGAATCAGGGATAGGATCATCGTCTACGGCACAATCTGGTACAGCATTCAAGATGACTGTCCCTTCACCACCTGCCTCGCCATCGTCCATTGCCGAAGCCCACTTATTCATCAGTCCTGCAGAATTCGTCGGAAAAGGTCATCATTCTGTTGTCTATCGCGCAGAGTGGGATTTGCCTCGATCCGTGTTTTCAAAATACGTGATTTGTCATAAATGTGTGGAGGAAGCTGCGAAGAAGAAGATCTTTTCAAAAGACTCGGTCTCGAACGCAGCTGGTGATACCAGCAGTGCTTCTGATAGAGCTGGGCGTGCGGACGAGATTGTGGGCAGGAACTTCATCTTAAGAAAGCAACACCTTCCTGTGATCGATATGACCATCGTTCGAGAAGGCCAACCGGAAGACGAAAACACCCCATGTTACAGTGTTGGCGGTGAAACGGTAGACTATCTCGAATATACCGGCGAGTCCATGCCCACCGTTCACGTCGACACTGTACCATGGTACGATTCATCATCAACTGATCCTGCTCCTTGCTCTCACCTTGCAGTCACGTCTTCCATCTCCGGTCCCCTCCCAGGCCCAGTTCCTCCAACCGCATCTGTATCCGTTATTGCCAAGTTATCTGTTTATGATGACAATCACCTTGAGAAGGAGGCGAAATGCTATCAAAGCTTCGGAGAAGACTTTTCGCAGCATTGGTCGGGGTATACAGTTGCGTTACCAATAAGGGATCCGACTCCTACTGGGGCGATTACGCCGAATTTCTATGGGTTCTATTCCAAGGAGGAGGACAAGACAAAAGACAACGAGGAAAAAGTCATAGACCGGGATTCATTTCTCAGCCCTATCCTTTTGATCGAAGATTGTGGCAAACCAATCGAAGTTAAGAAGCTGTCTCTTGATGATAGGTGTGTGCAGCTGCATTTGCGATTATCCCATTTCATTTGACTCTACTGACAATATTACCTCTAGACAAGAATGCGCCGCGCTCCTCTTTCGGCTACACTACCACGGGTGGACACACGGTTCCTTCGCACATAGGAACATTGTCATGCAGATAGGTGACCATGGTGACTTCCCGCTAATGAAGTCAAGGAACGATAGACGGTTTAGGCTGATCGATTTTGGGCGGGCGTGGAGTCTAAAGGATGCCATCGAGACTGATCAATCTTCGAGTCGAAATGGAGATAATAGTAATGGACACGTAGGAGGGACAGAGAGAGAATGGAGGCGCACACAGTTTGAAGAGAAGAATGAGGTTTGGAGGACGCTGATGTTCCCGTATCCCATTTGATCCTGAAGTTAAAGGTAGAGTATCGAAGTAATTGGATAGATGCTCGAATGAACGTACATATATGTTTTTCCAATGTGGATGGGAAAGTCACTGTTCTTTTTCTCGGTTTATTCAGTGCTTTCTGGATCTATTGCTCAATTTCAGGCAAGGTCAATACTGAACTGGACCTCATTTACCTTGAACCACCATCATCTTGACTTTTAGTCATGAAATCGTCGAAACAAGCCTCAGTGGGGGTTAGAGTTGCTCAATAGAAAGGTCAACATATCACCAAAGAATTCATAACGTCTCGACAAGGTCTCGACAAGGATAGAAAAAGAGTGCATTAAATCACCTGGATCTGTAGAAAAGGAATTGTTCGATGCGACCTGGTTGCTTGCCCTATTCGAAGGAGTATAGTCGATGATTACCCTGTTTTGGAGGTTGTTTGTTCAACAAAACCACTAGACTCAAAGACCCAGGAGCGAGAGGGAGAGGAACGGAGAAATTCACCATTATCAGAAAGGTCATCCGAAAAGTATTTGTTCAATCCACCATGTTCTGGTTATCTGGTTGCTCTGAAATTTGATCTGTGGTTCAGCATGGCCTTGCTGTACCCCATCTGCAAATCTTGTGGCTATTAAATGTATTTGGCACTCTGGAGGTCGAGCTCGTTGATGACTAGTCCGACGTTGCACTCATTTCCCGGCCCGAAATTTGCCGGCTTGCCGCCGGCGATCACCCTGGGTAGTATTTTGCTAGTTGCACCTCTGTGGAGGTCAACAAGTTCCATGGAGGTTTTTCTCAATGTTTTTCCTGGAGGTTTTTATGCATATGTCTGCAAGAGACTGAATGCTTTGGTGGTAATACCTAGTCTTGAATCGATCAAATTAAGGGAGAGTTTCATGCAGAAAGTAATCCTGGGACTTCCACAATATGCGAAATTCTATCCAGATGCATGGATGCTATTCCACACCTTATTGGCTGATACAAGAATCACTGAATTATTTGCAATGTTGGCATATGATGTCTTAGAAGTTGTATATGAGGTTGAAATGTTTGTCCCATCTTGATGCAAAGGTTGCTTGCATGCATTGTCGAGACGGGGAAGACTGTGCACGTCTCACGAGGTTTTTTTCCTGCTTTTTCCTCATAAAGTGTGAGAGTGGCATCATCGCCCCCCCGCATTAGAAATGTGTGTTCCAATACTGTAATCTAAGTAGAGATTGTACAGTATGGTAAACTGGCTGTTCGGGAATCGGACCTCACCAGTATAATTTAACTATCCTATCCTATCCTGAAGGCAACCATTCGTCGGAGCCTGATTCTGATTTTCTCCCGTTCTCCCGTTTTCGGTCCCATTGAAATGGGGACGCATTCAGCTCTCCCAAGAGGCTTCGCTTGGGACGGTGTAATGTGACATATCTGATGTCAAAAAGATAATTTTGAAGATGTATTCCGACACGGGGAATCGAACCCCGGGCTATCGCGATACACTGGCCAGTGAGAGGCGATAATGTTAGCCACTACACCATATCGGAATATTATTTTTTTAGGATGCAATTATTAAAAAGAATATATGAGAAACTAGTGATTAGGTCATTCGTCGGTGACTACCATTCCTTCCTTCTACTACTCTTTCTTCCATGCTTGATGTATTTCACGGGAGGTCAGAAACTAGGGACTGAGTCCTGGCCTCGACAGCCTGTTGGTGGGCCACCGCCGCCGACCTCACCTGGATACGGAATTTACAGCCAACCTCAACATCACCACCAACATAGTCATCTTGGGCCACCCTTAACTCACCATCAGATTTTATCTGGACAACAACCTCCGCAGAACTTAACCAACCACACTCATAATCACAATCACAGTCATACACATACTCATCACAATCCTCATTATCCTAGCCCGCCAATTCAGCAACACCATGTAGGAATAAATCAAGGGAGTCCAGCCAGTGCGCCGCTAGCGCAACATTGGCAACAGCAGTTACTGAAATGCGAGGTGTGTGATATTTGCACTCGTAGGCACCTCTCCATTAATGAATAATCATAATCAGATCATAAGGCAATCTCGCTCTCCGCACCATCGAGCACGAGCCAGTGCAATGGCGTCGCGGACAGTCGCGAAATCAGCTATCCCTATCACCAATCCGAACCCGAACCCGAAACCACCACCAGAAGAGCCTTTACTATCGGACTCCCCACCACTGGCCAATGGGAACGCTAGCCACCCGTCGTCGACGGTTGCACCTATCGCTGAGCCACCCAGACCGCGGTCAGAGGCAACGTGGACGTCATTGGATATGGGCGGAGTAGGTATCAAGAACCTTCCATCAAATTCTGGCTTATTCTCCTTCAATTTCCTCACAAATCTCTACCTCAATCACAACGGTCTGATCGCAATCCCTCCAGAGATTGCTCAGCTGCGAAATCTGGAACTGCTGGATTTATCTGGGAATGCATTGACAACGTTGCCTCCAGAATTGGGCATGCTGGTGTCCATGAAAGAGTTTTATCTGTTTGATAATCAGATAATGACAATTCCCCCAGAGTTCGGAACTTTGCATCAGTTACAGACTCTCGGTGTCGAAGGCAATCCTTTGGACACCAACCTCAAAAACCTCATCACCAAGGACGGTACTCCCGCCTTGATAGCCTTCCTGCGGGATTCGTGTCCAGTTTCGGCGCCACCCCAGAATCGAGCGTGGATCCCGCTCATTACACCAGTTGAACAAGAAGCCCTACCACCATCGACAGAGACAATCTCAGTCGTATGCTACAATATCCTCTGCCAGCGCGCTGCCACTGTGCGTCTGTACGGATACACTCCCTCTTGGGCGCTGGCCTGGGATTACCGTCGGGAACTCATCCTCTCCGAAATTCTCGCTCATGGAGCTGATTTCATTTGTCTTCAAGAAGTCGACGTGACTTCTTACGAAGACTTTTTTCTCAAACACCTCTCCGAAGCCGGTTACGAATCCGTCTATTGGCCGAAATCCCGTGCCAAGACGATGTCTAACGAGAACGAGCGGCGGTTCGTCGATGGATTGGCGACGTTCTTTCGTGCAGACAAGTACCAACTTATCGAGAAACACCTTATCGAGTTTAGTGCGGTTGCGATGCAGAGAGAAGATTTCAAGAAGACGGAAGATATGTTCAATAGGGTGTTAGGGAAAGACCATATTGCGACTGCGTGTGCATTTGAGAATAGGGAGACGGGCTCGAGGGTGCTGGTTGCGAATGTGCATATATTGTGGGATCCCAAATTCTGCGATGTGAAGCTAGTACATGTCGCGTTGATGGTTGAGGAGGTGGAGAAGATGGCGGAGAGATTCGTGAAGTTGCCACCGAGGTTGTGGCCTGAGCCGGAGACGGCGAATGGGAACGTGGATAGTGTCGATGGCATTGCCGATTCCTCGTTTTCATCATCATCAGAGCTATCCTCGCCTTTTCCTACCACTTCATCCTTACCTTCATCATCCTTACCACCTTCTTCGTCGTCATCATCACCTCCCGACTCTCCCTCTTCAAAGCCTTCTACACGTCATCAACGTCCCAAACCACCGACGTATACATCTGCCTCGCAAATTCCTCTCATTTTCTGTGGCGATTTTAATTCCATTCCAGGCTCCGGTGTGTACGAGTTTTTGTCGACGGGTACACTAAGAAAGGACCATCCCGATTTCATGGGGCATGTGTATGGGAAGTATACCGGGGGTGCAGGTTCAGGCCCCGGCTCAGCAGGAGGGAACACGGATGGCTTGAAGAGCTGGTTAGGGCTGAAAAGTGCATATGCGGCGCCGGCACATGGTGTACATGGTGCACATTCCAGAGCACCGCAATCGCTTCACCAACAGCAGCAACCCCTGCCGACATCGGGAACTAGGACACCGGGCTCTACCCCTGCGCCTGGTGCATCGAATAATCTGTTGTCGACTCCTGCTTCCACTTCCCTCATCCATACATCCTCTTCTCTTTTAAGATCTTCCACCTCCTCTCCTTCACCTGAACTCCTTCCAACGACCAACTACGTGTCCTCGTTCAGCGGTGTTCTCGACTATATCTGGTACTCTGGTTCCAGCCTCGGAGTGAACGCCGTCCTGGGTCAAGTCGATCCGGTGTATATGAGTAAATGTGTGGGATTTCCGAATGTCCATTTCCCCTCAGAGTGAGTACTTTTTTGTTTGTTCTTTTGGTTCTCTTTCTTTTCTGGCTCTTTTTCCTCTGACTCTGTTTCTAACTACCCTAATTCGTTATTGTAGTCATATATGCATCATGGCCGAGTTTCGGGTCAAGCCTCCAAGGGAAACCACGTCGTCGTCGCAAGACGAGCATGGACATTTACCATTTTCGTGAAAGAATAAGTGTTAGGAAAGGAGAATTTGAATAAAACTATCCCGATGTCAAGCGATATTTGTACTTTGGGGTGTACGTCGAGTGTATTCTACTACCGTTCCTTTTATCTTATGTTCACTCTCGTTCGTTTACTTGCTTGTATCTCTCGTATCGTGTCTGTCCCTCTTTACCCCACAATCGTGACCACCTATAGCCCACTTCTTTTCTTTATCAAGTTCTTCGTCTGTTCTTTCTCACTATCGAAACGGTTTCTTCAGTCACTCTTTATTTTTCATCCAGCCAATGTATACTTTGTGGTACTTTGTGGTACATATAGGTTACATAGGTGTTTTTTTAATTCTTTTTTGCCGTTTTGCCTCTACACATCTCTTCAGGTGCATGTGCTACGTATCTACTGTTCATACAAGAGTCATTTTTCATGTGTACTGAGCTTCACTTCACCTTTATCTGTACCTACTGTTCAGTTCTTTACTTTTCATCTTTTTACTTTCTTTTGTGCTCTTGTGTATGTACATACTTATGTTTTCCTGTTGCTGCTGTCATTAGCGTACGTTGTCTCTGTCCTTGTCTGTTATATGTTTGTTTCTTCTTTATTTGTCCCGTGCCTTCCTGTGCTAAGTGTATCCCCACTGAACTAACTCTAGGACCGGTCTGATCTGATTGCTCACCGAGTGATATTTCACGCTTTGCCCCCTACGACAGGGACTGTAGTTTTCCCATAGCTAAGTCTCATCAAATCTCACTGTTCAAATCAATGTACAACAATCCAATTTCCTTTACATGATGTGAACAAAAACATGAATGCAAAAACCCTGAACTCGGTCTTTCACTCGTTGGAAGAACATTCATTATCTAACAACATGATTGTCAGAACGAATGTAAAAGCCTTCTACGTATAGACAATTTACCCCTGTGACGGTTCGAGAGAATAGCTGAATTGGACCTCATGTTTGGCAAGTGAGGCCACCGTTGCCGTCACCGCAAGCTATGGAGGGAAATCATCAGTTCAATCCTCTCATTTAACTATAAAGTCACCGACATCCGTCCAAGACGTTACCATACTGGTAGAACTTGCATGAGCTGCCATTCTTATGGGAGCAGTTGTTGGGACAACGACAGGCACTGTTGGCATCCGGGGCGACAGCGTTGACAGAGACAACAGCAATGAGAAGAGCAGAGAGGATGGTGAAGAGCTTCATGGTCACTGAGGAGAGTGCTAGTAGTCGAGATGATGCGAAGGGTCTGTGTTTTGCGTAGAGGACCGGCCTGAGGAATTCCACCTCAAGAACAGGTCCTTTTAAACCTGGTTTGAGCAGTGAAGTACGTACCTAGTACCAAATGAGTATTATGGTTACCAGTCTCAAGTTTACGACCCACATATCTCGTCAATTAGATCATAGCCTTCTACCGCTCTTACGGCTGCAAACGCGGGTGGTCCTCGATTGATGAACTCAGGCCGTAGTTAAGGCTTAGTGGCTAGTAGCACCAGTGCCACTGAGGCAGTTCATTGGCGCACGTCTGCACGTACCTCCGTTCTCCTCTTCCTCATTTCAGATAGTAGATAGCTCGAGCCGTGGATTGAGTTTTTTTGCCCACAGGGAAAAGACAGTTATTCCACATGGTAGATACCGCCAGCTGGTAAACCGAAATATTAATCACGGAAAGACCAAAATGTCATGGTTTTATAACATGATATTGTGGAGGAAAGTGTGTTCCGAATCAGCATTAGCGGATAGATAAAGCGATGTAAAACTGGATGTGGTTGTGGCAAGAGCGGCAGCTGCGGAACTTGAAGGGCCAAGGCTACCTAAAATTGGATTGTGCATTGGAAAAACGAACTTGCCAGTGATTCGACACGGCCTCTGCAAAGATTGAACGCTTGAGCTGCCTAGCATTGCTTTGCCTACGGAAACATCTTCCCAGATTGCATCTATGTCCCTCGATAGTTCTTGTTCATGGCGATAGCATTTGTTGTTGTTGCCTGACCTAAACCATCGTTTTGCCGTTATACCGATGCCGTGCTTGCCAGAAGCTACAGAGTATGATTTTGAGTGAGCAACTTCATCGGAGGGAGCTTGCAATCCCCATGGTCACCTTCAATATTGAAAGGGCGTTCAGAGGTTTCAAGGGATTAATGAAATAATACTGGATCACATAGTAGAAAGAAAAATACCGGCCGG